CAACAAAAATCACAAAAAATTTGTGTATCATGATATTTGCTTTATCTGTAGTATTCTTTTTGGAGCTGGAGCTTCCAGGGTTTAAACCAACACAAAGTTTCAATCCACATAATGACTTGGTAACTAAAAGTGAAATACTGGGGGGTGGCCCTGCAGGTATATTCTCAGCTGAGAAGCTTTCTTCATTTGCTATAAATGAGGTGAATACAGGAGGGATGTATAAATATTCAGACTATGTACCTGAATCTGAAGTCCATACATTGAAGAGTATCAAAAGTCCAACTTTACTTTGTAAGATGCCCCTTACAGAGCTCATTTCCCACTTGAGCATTCCTAACTTAAAATTTATTGCTCAATGCCATAACATCAAACTTCATTCCAAGTCAAAAAGCTTAGAAATTCAGAGCATTATTGAAAGTCACAAGTATAAATCATGTAAAGAATATGTAGAAATATTTGAATTTATAGATGAGAAAGACAAGACAGAAAAAAAGAAAGCTATTAATTTAAATAAGTCAAAAAAATACCAAGAAAAAAGTCCAGAGAAATATAAGGCCAGCCACTTGGAGGCAGTTAAAAAACACCAAGAGAAAAGCCCAGAGAAATATAAGGCCAGCAACTTGGATGCAGTCAAAAAACATCAAGAGAAAAGCCCAGAGAAATCTCAGGCCAGCAACTTGGATGCAGTCAAAAAACATCAAGAGAAAAGCCCAGAGAAATATAAGGCCAGCAACTTGGATGCAGTTAAAAAATACCAGGAAAAAAGCCCAGAGAAATACAAGGCCAGCCACTTGGAGGCAGTCAAAAAACACCAAGAAAAAAATGAAGAAAAATATAAAGTTTTAAACTTGGAAGCAGTAAAGAAATATCAAAATAAAAGCTTAAACCCAGAATTTCCTCCTTCAGCTCCTTCCCAAAAATTACTGCATCAGATATTTACAGATTTCTGTGAAGATATAGATCCAAATCAATTTGAGGAGTCTGGATGTGCAGTTTGTGGTCAGTTAACACCAAGTTCAACTCTCAAGAAGCTCTCAGAAATGAACTTGAACTTGGATATTCTGATTCAAGATGGTGTTACCCAAGTTGAAAGACAAAGTTCAAAGGATCCCCTCTCTGATATTGAAGGCCCAGTTCTGGACAGTGATTTGGACTCTATATGTCAGACTTGCTATAAAGCTGTATCAAAAGGCAAGATGCCACTGCTAGCCTTAGCAAATGGCAAATGGATAGGAAAAGTTCCACCTCAATTATTAGACTTGTCATTTGCTGAACAACTTTTGGTGGCTAGAGTTCGTCATAACAGATGCCTAGTCAGAGTATCCTCAGGAATGCATAAAATGAGAGCCAATGCTATCTCTTTTTCTAATCCTACACAAAAGATTTATGATATATTGCCTCCTCCAATAGAGGAAATGGATGAAGTTTT